CATCCAATCCTACTAAGTAGAAGTCATAAAACATGTAAAAAAATTTTAGTTTTATATTAATTAATAGACACTGGAAAACAATTTGAAAGAATGTAAGTGGCTTCTTTTATAATAATACAAATTATCCACATATATCAGGAAACCAGATATATGGCAGAGACAGAAATGAGATCCAATGGTATACATTGAGCATATGCAAAAATTCTTACAATGTTGCAGTACTTAATGACCACACTATACACACAAGGGGATCAAAGATTGAATGACACATCTGAGATCAATAGCTAGCAAGTGGCACCATGAGTTAGTTCTGGCTGTGACTTAAAAACAAGAACCCTAAGGTCCTTGTCTTTCTACAATACTAGAAGATGATCAAAAAACCTTTGAATATGCTAACTATGTATAATTAGCTCAAAGCCAGCTAGTCATTGTTTCTTAGTCAGTCTTGCTTACACGGAAAGATATGATTTATATTTAAATTCCACTCCTCCCACAATTAATATAGGTACCATCTAAATGTAAAGGTTATCTATGCCCCATTCAATCAACTGTCAGATTATTATGACAATTGCCTCTCTTCTTGAAGAGATAGATTTTTAAGAAAATAGGTATCTCATACTATGAACTGCCTATGTAGAGGTCATGAGGTCCATAATCACTTCTAAACTGTTAATTCCTGTTTTCTATAGACACAACAAAAACAGGAAATATTTACCAACTTCACAGGTATCAGGAAATACTTGTAAAACCCTTGTGGCCTGAGCCACCTACTTGGAGAAGACAGCATTCCTGTGCATAGGTACAGAAGGTAGATGGTAATTCAAATGCATACTTTGGTCCAGGGCCCTTTATCCATAGTTTCTAAGGATTCCCAGATTCTGCTTCTGTTGGACCAAAAATTGTTCCAGAAAAGAGATGCATTGTATGCAAATACACTCTGTACTCTTCCTAACATCTACACTGTCGACATTTTTTCAGCTTCAAATTCTATTTCCACATCTAACAGAGGGCCAGATGATAAAGTACACCTCAAAATTATTGAAACACAGAATTATGTTCTTAATACTCACTTATGTAAGAAAGCACAAGTTTGTTTTCACAAATTCTGAAATCTAAATTTTCAAAAAATGGAGACTATTCTTTTTCCAAATTATGGAACTAACTAAAAATTTCAGAAAATAGTAAAAGCATAAAGACCAGGTATCACTGAACTTCATACTACATCCACTTACATTTCACAAAATTAGTTATTCATATGACATTATAATACCTTTTGTTTTCATTTCACACACTGTAGTAGGCTCTTCAGCCAGTTCTACTTAATTATTTCACTGAGCTCACCTTGAATCTCCAGTACTCTCCAGAAAATCACAAATGTTCACATCCATGGAGAACACTGGAGTCCAGACTGCAAGGCTCTGGGGTGTACCTGACTCCTGAATTTCCATCATTTGAATTAAAACTATATCAAAAGTCTTTTTCATTTTCTCCCAAATCTGTTTGTGCCAGTTACCACCGTCCCTTGGCTTTGTTAAGTATTATGTAGACGAGGAAGCTTCCAATGCAAGAAGAGTGTCATGTTCCTATCAAAAGGAAGTTAATTGCTCTAAGAAAATCTGGTAAAGTTACCACTTTTTTTAAAAGTAGCTTTTCCCAAACTAGAGGAGGAAGAGTTATGAAAATGTAGGAGTCTATACTATGTGGTTTAGACAAGAAGAACAATGTTTATTCCACCGCCCCCCCCACCATCCAACTTCCAGAAAATTACACATCTGGATATGAATCTGGAATGTCCCAGAAGGTTGGTGTGTTAAAGGACTGATCTTGAGCTTGGTCCCATTAAGGGATGGTAAGATCTACTGCAAAATCTTCAGGTCCTGCTGGGAGGAGGAAACCCTCAAAAATGACTTTGTAAGACAAAGTTCTCCCTTTCTTTTTTACATTCCAGTCATCAGATGAACATTTTTGCTCATCTGTGCACTCCTACTAAGGTTTGCCCTCCCGCCGCTACCCCATTACCACCACAGGACTAAAAACAATGGATCTGCCTGATCATGGACTGAAAATTCCAAATCTCTTAACTAAAGCAAGCCTTTGTCTTTAGGAGCTGATTTACTTCAGATTTTGTTATAATGATAACATGTTGCCTCTTCTGCTTTAAACATAGTCTACATCAATCACTGTCCTCATCATTTTCAACAACTACATCATATTCAATTCTCAGCTGCATGGTTATTTCTTTAACCAATACAGTTATCAGTGATCTTTTCAGATTATTTACACTTCCCCAGTACTGTAGTCATTGCAATATTAACTTTATACACATTTTGCATACTTTACAAAGTTGTTTCCTTAGAATAGTTTTATGTGTGCAAATTGTGAAAATATTAAGTGAAATAAATATATTTTTCAGTTTTAAATTTATAATTGGTAAAAGTAACATAATGCTATGTAGACAGTTTCACAATCATGCACAAGATTTAACCCTAACTTTATTTGGATGTGTTTTTTGTCTACAGAGTAAAAGGTTTCTACCACAATTCTTTATGGCCCATTTTTCAACCCCAGTAACTCATATCTCCATGTAATGTTGCATATGTATAAGAAGTTGGAATGCATATTAATATATCCACTTTGTAAGAGTCACGTCTCAAAAATCAGTGTAAGTACAATCAAGTAAATCAAGCTCTACCATTGCTGCAAAAAGTACTTATCATCATTTTTCCTGACATCAAAATGTTATCTCTTTAATATTGGCAAGGAAAGACAGAAAGAAACAAATACAGCTGAGTGTGGTGGTACCCGCTTGTAATCCTAACCACTGGGAGGCTAAGGAGGAGAATTTTGAGACCATGCTAGACTAGAGAAAAATCTACCTTAAGGAAGAAGAAGAAGAAGAAGAAGAAGAAGAAGAAGAAGAAGAAGAAGAAGAAGAAGAAGAAGAAGAAGAAGAAGAAGAAGAAGAAGAAGAGGAGGAGGAGGAGGAGGAGGAGGAGGAGGAGGAGGAGGAGGAGGAGGAGGAGGAGGAGGAGGAGGAGGGAGCAGAGTGAGGGAAGAAGGGAGAGGGGAAGAGGGAGGGAAGGAGAAGGAGTCTCTTCTACAAAATCAGATTTCTTTCTTGCCGCAGTTAACTGCCCTTCTATCTTTGTCCTTCCCAAACAAAAATATATCTCCGCCACTCAGTTTTTATACCACTTGGTCATGCTCCCACCACAACTGCTCCCTGGTCCCTGGTCACTGCTTTGCTATGGTCACCAGTGACTAAGGACTCCAGTTCTGCTGTTTTCCTTGATGACACATGGCCTGACTGGTCAACCTTCTGAAAACCTTTCTGTGAGAACATTATTTACTTCCTGAGCCCACATCCTCCAGTCTCCATTCTCCTTTGATGACTTTCTTCCAACTGTCCATAAAACTTTCCTACATTTTTTTTGGATTTTGGTTTTGTTTTGAGACAAACTCTCCTTACATAGCTCAGGAGGCTTTGAACTCTCCATCCTCCATCCTCAACCTCCCAATGCTTTGATTAAAGGTGTGCACCGCCACACCAGGCTCCCCGTGGTTTAAATTTTCTCAGACAATTCTCAGCTTTCTCAGCTGCACAAATAGTGCAATAACAACCAAAAAAAGTTACTGTATTCTGTCCATGTGTACTAAAAGAGTTATACTTGATTACTTTTTTCTTTTATTTAATTTTTTTATTAATTTTTTAATTTTTATTTCTTTTGCCAGTCATGGGGCTCAAACTCTGGTCTAAGAGGCTGTTCCTGAGCTCCTATTTGCTCAAAACTAGCGCTCTACCACTTGAGGACATCACCTAAAGTGGTGATGTGCCTTTTTCTGTGATTAATAGGAACTAAGAGTCTCACCAGTTTTCCTTTCCTGCTTGGGCTGGCTTCGAACTACAATCCTCAGATCTCAGCCTCCTAAGTAGCTAGGATTGCACACATGATTATAGCCACCAGCACCTGGCTTGATTACATTTTTTTAAGTGCAACGAGTTTCAGATATATTAGGAAGTATGTGAAAATATAATGCTAATATTAACTGAGTGAGCACATGAGTAAGAAACCTACACTGATGAAACTGAGAATAGGTTGATATTTTAACAACTGATTGAGATTTTGTTATTTGATGCTTCTTCACGGAACCTAAAATGGGGTGCAGTAGCTATTTAATTGTGAAGTCCTACCTTTAAAGAAGTTAACAGTAAGGAAAACAAAATAAACAAAATACACTCTAAAGTTCAGCATCTTAGAACTATGTGAAAGAGCCATCATGTAATGACCTAGAACACATCATTTCAAGCTTTGGCTGTACAGCTAACATACAAGAAGTAGGTTTTGTTGGTAGTTTGGGGTTTTGTTTGTTTGTTTGTTTGTTTGGGGCTTGGGGAGAGGCTGGAGAAGGGTGTGACTTTTTTGTGTGCAGCTACTAGGACTTGAACTCATGGCCTGTAGTCTCACTCAGCTTTTTCTTCTCACAACTGGTGCTCTACCTTTTGAGCAATGTCTACAGTTCTAGCTTTTTGTTGGTTAATCAGAGGTAAAGAGCCTCTTGGATTTGTCTGCCAAGGCTCATTTTGAATCAAGATCCTCAGATCTTAGCTTCCTCAGTAGACAAGATTACAGGCATGAGCATTGGCACTAGGCTCTGTGCTTGTAAAAATTAAAAAGCTACAAAACAGGGCTGGAAATGTGGTTTGGTGGTAGAGTGCTTGCCTTGCATGCATGAAGCTCTGGGTTCAATTCCTCAGTACCATATAAGCAAAAAAGCCAGAAGTGGCGCTGTGGCTCAAGGGGTAGAGTGCTAGCCTTAAGCAAAAGAAGCTCAGAGACAGTGGCAAGGCCCTGTGTTCATTTTAGTCCCTTGTTCAGATGGAAGAAATCTCTGTAGCCGAAGCCTCAATTGAAGAGCTTGTCCTTTAATATCATAGAAGAGTTCTTATTGGCCAAATGACTAATAAGATATAACGGTTTAATAAAAATCAGTCAACATGGAATACATATCATTTTTATTGAACAATAATAAATTTGTTCTTTTAAAACAAAACTTAACAGCTTATTCTGCTTACATTCAAAGACCCTCCTTCCTAATACACATTCATGACTCTGTTGGCAAACTTCAAGAATAAAATACAAGTACATAGTGAAATAATTCTTAAATAAGTTCCTCACTGCAAATAAAATTACTTCTGTGAATATTTCCAAAAAGATCTAGTACAACAGCCCTATTTGCGCTAAGATTTCCCCCCAAGCATATTGCTAATTCCACTTGCCAATCAAGTTTGAAAGAAAAAAATGTGACAATGAACTCTACGTTAAAGTTGACATGCTTCCTGCTGAAAATAAACTCTTCTTTTCTCACACTTGCCAAAAATCTATTTTCTGTTTGCAACCTGAAATTATCTATGTCATGGAATTTATGTTTCAATATTTCCCCTGTTGTTTATGTTTTTGACTTTTTTAATCCAAGAGTGACTCAAATTTTCCATTCTGCTCATCATTGTTGATTATTATTACCATAACTATCAATAACAAATTAATCATGCCTCAGATGTTTGAAAACCTTATAGAGTTAGTGACACCTTTATTCTGACCACATAATAAACAAATATTAGGTTCATTTCCTCAAGAGGATGACGTGTTCTAACATAGTTGTTTACGTATATACCTTCATTCTGCCCACCCCCCACCTCAGGCAAAATACTTCCAGTCCTAGATGAGAGATAGTATTCTTTCTTTAAACAGTGGTGTGGATGGGTACATTTGCCCTCCCCAACAAACACAACCCTTAGTTAAATGGGGGTAACCTGAGAACTTCATGACCAGCCCTTGAAAAATTCCATTCAAGCTGAATTCAAGACTTGCTCAAACTCCCATAGGCTTCGAACATCCCACTTCCTGCAGTTCTTTTTGTTTTTTCACTTTTCCCTAAAGGATTTTAGAAATTGAATTCTACTGAAGCTACCACAAGGAATAGCTAAATGTTATACTAGCTCGCCCTTCCCCCACCCTCCTCTCTCTTGCTCCTGACTTCTTCTACCCCATCCCCACATTAATGCACATCCAAGTCAAAGAACACTGAGATTCCATGTGGTTTCAGTTTCCACAAGCTTCCTCTTTGACTTGACTCCACAGATTATCTAAATTGCATGTTTCGTTTTTCTGTATTACTATACACACACATTTCACAAATCTATATGCATTCGAAATATTTAACAGACAAATATCTAAAAGGGTTCAGTCTTATGCATTTTATAGATTTTTAAGTAGCCTACTATTTTTTTCTGGATTCACTCACATTTGCTCTCCAAAAATTACATGTCCATATGCCTTAACTAGACAGTTCTTAAAGCATTGGCTGAGTGTTGAACAATCATTAACATGGAGCCTCCTCTTGGAACTTCCACAGGATCAGCGGGGATTTAGCCATTTTGTTCCTGGAGACTGAGCAGTCTTCTCTTTCACAAGTTCTTCTCTCACAGCATTGCCATCTCCAGAAGCCATGTCACGCTCTGAAATTAGAAGAACACAAAACGTGTCCTAAAGCTTATCATTTGAAGATTGATCTAGCCATTTCTTTTGTCTTCTGTTTTCAGTGGAATTTTAAATAAAATCTTTAATAGAATCAAAATTCTATGCTTATAGTATTGAACTGCTCTGTATCAGTTAGCGCCTCTTCTTGCCTTATTTTCTTTATATCCTTATCATTACCCACTTTTATCTTATACATGTATTTTTCTTTCTCTGTGATATTTCACCCTACCACAGGAATTCCAGGTCCATCAAGGTAAGGACTTTCTTCATTCACTGGTATGTCTCTAGCACTTGTAACAGTGCCTAGAACATAATAGACATTGAAATACTGTAAAGATAGGTCTCTAATAATATTTTTTCTTTTTCTTTTTTCTTTAATAATAGCTTAATGCTAACTAGTATAGAAGAGAGATTCACTTGTGAGTATGACTCCAGAAGGCAGACCAAAGGGTAAAACTTTAATTTTTTTTAAAAAGTTCTTGATTTTTCTACAAAAAATGTATAATATTTAGAATCTTCTAAAATGAATTCTCTGATTCCAAAAGTAGTAAGCTGTGCTTGCTTAGTAAGACGTGTATGCCCTAAAATGAGATGCTACAATACAAATGTAGCAGTCTGGCTGGCAAATTCTTTTGAGTTTACCAAATATGCCAGACCTTGCTTCTCATTCACCTCACTAAAAATACGGCTTGTGAATGGGAATCCACCCAGACTTGGAACAATGACTACAAATTCATTCATTCATTCATTAAAAATAACAGGATGCCTAAGGCTAGAAAGCCCACCTGATGTGTGTTGAAACCAATGACAAGTGGAATTTGGAGAAGACAGCCTCATGCAAGGAACCTCCTATGGAAAGGACTTCTGCGATAGCCTGTGTTGTCTAACCTTGGAGCCGCCTGATCTCTTCTCAAAGAGGAAAGGGAGGGCAAAAGGCTCATGCAGACATGGTAAGAAGCCTGTGGCAGGACTGAGAAGCTAAACTCCCGCCTGGAAACTCTAGTTATGAACCCTGAAAACAAGAAGGGAGCCCCTACCAGCCTTCCCACATATCTCTAGAAAGTTCTTCCCTCCATCCTGAACCTAGTATTTATCAAGATCAATACTAGTAAAAGCAGGCACCAGTGGCTCATACCTATATCTTAACTACTCAGGGCTGAGATCTGAGGATCCTGGTCCAGCCTGGGCAGAAGAGACTGTGCAACTCTTATCTCCAATTGACCAGAAAAAAAAGCCAGAAATAGAAGTATGGCTCAAGTTTTAGAGCACCAACGTTAAGAGGAAAAAGCCAAGTAAGAGTATGAGACCCTGAGTTCAAGCCCAGTACTGGCATTAAAAAAATACACTAATAATAATATTTTAAATGCTGTGAAAAGGGATAAAATTTAACTATTTCATCTATAAATTTCTAATAAAAATCTCAATACCAAATTCTAGTATAGAAATAATTTGTGTAAAAACCAACCAGGAAGGAATCCAAAGAGTAGCCAAGATATCAAATTTTCATGAAGTTATTTATCTAGTGGGTTAAAAGGTTTGAGTTGGGAAAGGAAATTGAGACACCATTTTAGTTATATTAAATAGAGCTACTGTTGACAGAAGGAACATTCAATGAATAATAAAACATGTCTATTTACTTTGTAATGCAAGGGTGAAACCAGAAAGTATTAATGTTTCTAAATTTTTGTTGCTCTCTGTGACCTCAATCACACACACATACACAAAAAAAGCCTTTAGCATTTAACAAGATAATTTTTAGAAGTGCAAAAGAGAGCAATGGGTGAAGGAAAAGCAATACAGATGGGTTGAATTTGATCAAAGCACATTGCAGAAATGTTGTAAACATCCCAGTGAAGCCCCTTTGAATAATTACTTCATACTAATGGAAATTTTTTAATGGTTTTCATTTCAATTTAATGTCTAAGAGCATAGCCTTCCTTAACTGACCAGTTCAGTTCAAAGTAAAATATTTGAAGAAAGTAGCACTGGAAAAATAAGTACATTTGCCAAATATTTCACATTTTAACTAATTTAAAGTGCAAAAGACTAGAAACAAAATGGACTAGGATGACTATTTCTATCTGGGGAAAGGCATATAGCTTATTAATATTAGTTAGCAACTGTTATCAATAAACACTGAGGGTGTGGGGAAGCTGAAAATGTTTAATTAATTTTTCAACTTAATATAATTATATATATATATATATATATATATATATCTGGGGTACAATGTTATACTTTGGTGTATGCATCTATTAGAAAATAATTAAATCAAATTCATTAACAGATCCATAACTTCACATACCACTTTCAGTGGTAAAACTATTTTAAATCTATTCATCAATTTTGAAATACATAGATTTTTTTTTATGCCTTTCTCTGGGCCTGAGCACTGTTCCCTGGGCTCCTTTTGCTCAAGGCTAGTGGTCTAGCACTTGAGCCACAATGCCTCTTCTGGCTTTTTCTGTGATTAACTGGAGCATAAAACATTTTTGTTCATCATAGTCACAATTTTGTGCATTGGAGGAATAAGTTTTAGTGGCTTTATACACATTTATTTTGGCGTGCTGTTCTAAAGGAGTTTCTTTACACTTTTGTTTTCTAAGGGCCTCATGACTTAGAAAGAAGATAATCAAGTATTTGCAGAGCACCCTCCCACAGACTCTGTATTCCTCACACACGCACAAACCTGAGTAAGAAACACACAGAGAGCGCCAGCAGGATGTGAATATTACTGCAATTTCATTCATTCCCTGAGTTGAAATCATAGCTACTATTTATCTCCTCCAAAATCCACCCAAACACATGCTTGAAATTATTCCATTTAAAAACATGCTCTGTATTTTTTTTATCATAGCTCTTAAACTTTATCCAACAAATTCCTCATCATACTTTTTTCTCTGTGGAATTGGGAGAGAAATAGTTTTGTCTAGTAAGCATATAAAGCAGAGCACTGAAGAATTTAAAGAACTAGCATATCTCAGTTGTTTCTGTCTTCTGCATCTGACCTGGGTAAACGTTATGAGGAATGACAGCATATACTACTCAAGATGATTAGTAGAATCAATTTGGAAAACAGCAACAGTAACCAAACTCAACTACCACCCACCTTTCTCCAGAGGAAAACAAAAGAAGCAAGATCATCCAAACCAACATCTTATTCTGCTTGCTAATATTTTGTAAGTTACAACTAATATTCTGTAAGTTACAAAGTTAAACCACAATGAGCTCTTACCTGTGTGAGAGACAAATCTCCTGCTGGAAGACTTGGCTGTTGAATACTGGAAGAAGGGAAATTTCAGACATTTTCCTGTCACTCTGTCACAGATACCAGACTGGCAGTTGCAGGTCTCCTTGCATTCTATCCCAAAAGTGCCATAGGGGCAATCTGAGGGCAGAGAAAGAACTTAGTGAGGAATGTGTTGCACAACAACTTCCATCCCTGCAGTCCTGAGTGATAACCTTTGGATTTGAACCAATCTCACAGATCTTGAAACAAAATCTACTTCTCAAAAGCCAAGATTTTGCCTCATTCCTGTAATTCCATGCTTGATACATAAGTAGAAGGACTACAGTTCAAGGCCAGCCCAGGTAAAAGTGTGAGACATTACCAAAAAGATAATTCAAATCATAAAAGAGAAGGAAGGTGGCTCAAGTGGTAGAATGCTTGCCTCGCAAGAATGAGGCACTGAGTTCAAATCCTAGTACAAAAAAAAATAGTTCTTGAAAGTTAAAAGTCCGCATCATAAATGTGAAGTAACACATTCAGGCAAGATAATGAACATCTCAGGCTTGGTGTCAAGATTTTAAGTTTAGCTGAGGACAGCAATTCATAACCAATCTCCTTGAATAAATCTTATTTCTGCTTAGATGATGCTACAGGTTACAATAAACATAGTTAATTGAACAGAATATAAATTAACTCCTCAAAATATATATGCATCAGTCACCAAAGAGTTTCACGGAGTTGACGCTGTCTGAATCTACCATAATCACAGTGTACTATTTTTAAAGGTATACTAAAAGGCTTTGAAATAACCAAGGCTAAGACAGCTGACATCCCAGCCCACCATGAAGCAATCAATTCTCAATCTTTTCCAATCTTTGTATGGTCCCTTATCTGTTAAAACAGCAGTGCAAGCTGGGCATAGATCCATATGCCTATAATCCCAGACTCTCAGAAGATAGAGGCAGACAAATCATCCGTTCAAGATGAGCCTGGACAAAGTACAAAATCTGGGTGTGACTCAAGTGGTAGAGCACTTGCCTAGCAAGACCTTGAGTTCAACTCTCAGAATTACAAAACGAAACAAAACAACAAAACCAACATAGCAGTAAAAGATGCTAAATGAACAAGAAATGTCAGGGTTTGCCTACCTACTAAGAACTCCTCGGAGCTTTTACAACATACATAGTTTCATTCTTACACTAAAGACTAAAACCCACTGCATTGTAATAAAGAAGACAACGTCTTTTATTAAAAAGCTGTAGTTTTTATAACACAAATAGTATCTGATTAACTAGGCTTTGAAAACCAGCAGAATGGATGTGTAATGTTTATTCCCTGGGATGGGAATAACCTTGTAAGTGTACAGTCATACATGAATAAAGAAACAAGTTGTGTAGCACCTGAGCTCCACCAACCCAAGACAAGATGGAACAATCAAGATGGAAAGATTTAGGATTGCTCTTCTGGACATTTGTCAGAAGACAGAGGCCTCTACTTTTGTATACTGTCTAGTCTTCTGAGAAAAGGAGTTACTGAAAGGGATCCTGGAAAAGCCTAGAGCAGAAAAGCACTCCGTACTATGATTTGACTGTGTCTGTTGTGCTACATAAAAATGAAAACCTCAACCAAATATCCAGTGACACTTCTAACGTAGCTCCTGAGATATAGAAGAGTGCTGGGCATCTAGTAAATGTTCAGTAAATTGTTGGTTGGCTGATTGTATCAGAGCAACACAGTGACAAACATCTGACTATTTAGAAAACGGTTGATGAGCTGCCAAAGTTTAATGTTTTCATATAGGTATTCTATTTTCAAAAATGCTGAACAAGAGGAAGATCTCTTCCTAGGCTCTCCAATCTCATTATTTCCAGGGGAAAAAAAAGGTTTGAAACTATATTTATTGTCAGTCTGAAGGATGCCACAAAGGGCAACCCAAAATCCATTTTCTTTTTTTTTTTTCTTTTTTTTGGGGGGGGTCTGGTCATGGGGCCTGAACTCTGGACCTGGGCACTGTCCCTCAGCTCTTCAGCTCAAGGCTAGTGCTCTACCAATTGAGCCACAGTGCCACTTCCGGCTTTTTTCTTTTTGCTTATGTGGTGCTGAGGAATCGAACCCAGGGCCTTGAGCATGCAAGGCAAGCGCTCTACCACTGAGCCACCTTCCCAGCCCCCAAAATACATTTTCTAATGTGTCACATTAACATCTGCCTCAATCATTGAGTAGACTACTAGAGTACTAAAATCCCCAGGGACTTGATAAATTGACTGATTCCTAGCTAATGGTGCTTTGTGATCATATCAGTAAAGTCATTTTTATCCCAAGAGAAAAAGCAATCCACTGTGCTGCTCATATCCACAAGAGTGTCAACCACGTCCTCCCTCGTTTTCTTATGGGAGGAACTGCTTTCTTGGCTGATAATCCCTGTAATTTACAAAAATACAGACCCTGTTCCATTGAAAGAAATGTGTGTGTATGTTCAGCAAAGAAAAGTGTACTGAGTATTGCGCCACTTTATTGATTATAAGCAAAAACTAAGCAAAATATAAAATTCTCCTAATTCTCTTATTTCCTAACCTCTCATAGATTTTACATATTAAAGATGATTCACTTATAATTTATTTTTTAAAAGAATTGGTGAGATTCATTAAACATGATTACCATTCATAGAAGAATACAGTTTATTAAGCATATAAGATATCAGATTTAGAAGTTTTACATAGTTGTTCTCATTTTGATAGCTTCTTTGTATTATACATAGAAGCATGTTTTGCACATTAATACTATCTTTTAGTGATTAGATTATAGGGTCCCTATGTATGGAGGTTTCGTGTGTGTGTGTGTGTGTGTGTGTGTGTGTGTGTGTGTGTGTGTGTGGGGGGCCAGTACTGGGGCTTGAACTCAAGGTATAGATGCTGTCCCATAGCTTTTTTTCCTTAAGTCTGGTGCTTTACCACTTGAGCCAAAGCTCCACTTTCATGGGGTATTTTTAATCACCATTTTTTAAATTCTAGACATTTTTTCAATGTTAAACATTTCAAATGATAGTCACTACATTTTGAATAAACACTTCAAAAGATTACCTGCATCATTTATCTGCAATTTCAACCTGATGACGTTTTTCTTTAAATCTATAAAGCAGTCAAACATTCTTTAAAGACCTCTGATTTTACTTTCTCTGCTATTTCTGCTTGTCTTACACTATCTGCAATTTTTCTGATAATCGGTAGGATTTGTAAGTTATCTGATTAGATTACTTAAGCCCACCGTATACCATAAAGTGCAATAGTGTTCTTCAGAAAGACTTAATCGTAAAAGAAGCCCTCTGTCTTATGGATCCTTTCAAGATCAAAGCCTTATTAGATCTAGGAGCTGGGAAATCACTGCCAGGGGTGACCGAGTGAGAATCAACCTCTATGATCACAGCATTGTAGAGGAAAGGGCAACTACCTATTGCTAACAGATTACCTATTAAGTTGGTAAAGTTTGCTAGAAAAGGAGGCAACACACTCTTCTATTGCAACTTTCTGAAATCTTCTAAACCTAATGGGTGGAATGCTGCTTTTTTCCTGTGCCTTCCTGCAGGCTGGCTGTAAGGGCTGTTTGCAGAACTTGCCTCCTCTGTCTACCTGGGGTATAACGTGCATGGGTATGTTTCCCCTGGCAGTCCTGAGAGCAAAGCCACCTCACCTCCCAAGCTGGCAAAAATAAAGCCCTAAGAAAACCCTGGACAGGGAAAAGCAAGAGATCACTGTTTACCTTTGCAGATACCAAACTCGTCACCAAAATCATCCTCCTCACTGTAAAACTGACACCTCAGCCCGGGGCCACACTTGACTCCATCCATGCCTGAGACTGTGCGGTAGCACGTTTCTCCCAGACCTGCAGCGCACACCTGGCAGCAGCCACAGTCATCCAGCACTGTCCTCTTGCAGTGCAGGCTGCTTCTGCACTGGCTGCCGTCACAGTGATCTGGGCAATCCACCGCATACTTGGTGCTCCAGGCCATGGCCAGGTGAGCAGGGACAAGGAGCGTGGTCAGCAGCAAGAAGCTCTTCATGTTTCCCAGCTGGCTCGGGCTCGGCTCCCTGCCGTGTGGTTTTTGCTGGTGAAAAGCAGCTGTCCAAAGTGGTAGCTAAGCTTCTGCCTACACGTTTAGGAGTTTTATACACTGGGTTGCCCGCATGCTTCCCCGTCATCAATTTCCTCAAGCCAGCGGCAGCTCTGTCCTTCTGCCAGCCACTCTTGTTTTAGTTTATGAAATCCAGGATGAAGGCTGGATTAACACGTTGCTGCCATCCAGGAATTGAAAAAGCCCAAGCTGATGTCATCTGTTATGTTTAGATGGTTGTTTTGCATGAGGGCTGAAAACCTCGTTCACATCCGTCTCAAGGGCTCAAGGACGTCTGTGAAGGGGGAATAAAGAAGGTCGCATACCTCCCTTCAGGACAGGAATTGTTCTGACACCAGGCATGTCACTTGGGGTGTAGCTTTGTCTCCCGAGCCCCTGGAGTCAGGAAGAAAATGATATTGATATGAATCATCAAGACTGAAGAAGCTTTTGCAAAAAAAAAGGTTAATAATAATAACTACTATTATTATAAGCATTTGGTACTTCCCCTCAATAAATAGCTATGAGATCATCTGGGAGAAGAAAGGGTTATATTGTGCCTTTTCAATACTTAGAAAAAGGAAAATATTTTGAGAGGGTTGTTTCTTATTTTAAGACCTTCCTTCCTTCCACCCTTCTCCTGAAGCATTCCAGGTCACATATATTTAAGTCTAATAGCTGTGTTTCTAGTAAGGTATGGGATCTACAGCTGAGAATTTCCTTTAAAATCAATATTTAAAATACACAAAAGAGGTAAGGTCCCACAGGCACTGTTTCTTGGTACTCGATTCTGGAAAAACTTATCAGTTGGACTTCTCTAGACTTAGGGCTCCCTGAGGAGAAGGCTCATCCATCACTGAGTCTGACTATCCAATGACCAAGTCCATTCATAGCCCTTCCCTCACCTCCTGGCTTCTATCAGAGCCTTACTAAAAGTCGCCAAGCAAGGCAGCCAGCCCAAGGAAACAAGCAAGCCAGCAGGGAAATAGGAACATAGCCCTTCTGAAAGGCAAGTCATGTCAAAGGGAAAACACTACCCATCAGGAGACAAGGTTTTTATGCTATAAAGAATCACGGGGCATAGATCCCACAGGGAAAAACAGAACCGTCCTCTACAAATACAGACTGGGCCAGGACTTACTAAGCAAGATTTGTGGTCCAGAGAGAACAAGATAAAAGAGAAGAGAGAGGGGCTCCCACACCAACCATGTGTTAGAGTCTAAGGCTCATTTGTCAAAATAAAAACAAACTCACCATCATGTGGTAAATGAACAGCCCAGCAAAATAGGAAAGTCGTGGTCTATCACAAAGTCGTTGTGGGAAATCCATAGGACTCAGCTGCTTCAGTTGAGAATTGATGGTAGTAGCCTATTTGACCTCTGAAGTTCTTGTGCATTCTGACAGTTGAGGTGTAGAGGTTATTGGAAATACCTTAATGAGGGACCTTTGTAACTATGATTGAAGGGGATGGAGGGAATAGATGCCAAAGGGTAAGTAGCTGAGGAAGTGAGAAATGAAGGCAAGGTTTTGACTTCCAAATTTTCCATGATAGTCTATTTTAGAATGCTCTATATTCGTCTCTCCAGAAGGAACATACAGTTAGCAGCTAGAACCTTGATTCACTGCTTTAATAATGGAGAACACATTAAATTTTACAAATATTTCTCTGAAACATTTTCATATATGAACTCATTTGCTCCAGACCATAATATTTTGATGTAGTTACTATCATCCTATCATATAATTTTTTTGTCAGCCAGGGGGCTTGAACTCAGGGCCTAGGTGCTGTCCCTGAATCTCTTTATGCTCAAGGCTAGCACTCTACCACTTGAGCCACAGCGCCAATTCCAGCTCTTTTTTTGTCGGTCATGGGGCTTGAACTCTGGGCTTGGGCACTGCCCCTGCACTCTTCAGCTCAAGGCAAACACTCTACTACTTGAACCAAAGCGCCACTTCCGATTTTCTAGTGGTTTATTGGAGATAAAAAGTCTCACGGCCTTTCTTGCCCATGATCCTCAGATCTCAGCCTCCTGAGTAGCTAGGATTATAGGCATGAACCACTGGCACTCAGCTAACATATCTATTTTTAAATGAAGAAGCAGTCAAGAAGAGGTTAATTTGCCCGTTTCCCATAATGTCAAAATGTGATTTGATTCACAAATCTGATGTCAAAGCCACACATTCTGTTGCTCCTTGCAACACAATTACATTTCTTTGGCCAGTGGTTCCAGGCTGACCCTGAAAAAGGCTTCAAAATTTTTCAAAAGAGACTAATCAATGGTAATAGTGGTTAATAATAACGCCTAGCCTTTTCAGAGATCTTGCTTTTGATCTGATACTATATTCAGCACTTTACTATGTTAAGCACTTTCCATAGACTGTCACATTTAACTTTTCAAATAACATTACGAGCTAGGTATTATTCCTCTCTCTATCTTAGATATGAGAAAACTAAGGCCTAGAGAAGTTAACTCATCCAACATCACATGTAGGAAATGGTATAGGCAGGACTCTAGCCCTAGGACAAATGGGGCTCCAAAGACTAGAATAAGGATTTTTTTTTTAAATCTATACAGGAGATAAACAAGTAACCAAGTTAAGAGTAGTGGTGAGCTACACCAAGCGTAATTCAGAAGGCATGGAGTGGACTCATTCATCTGAACTGCAAACAAGCCATGAATATTTCCCAAATGGTAGACAAAGACTAACATTGTTTTAGTAAAAGAAAAACAGAGTTGTACACTAAAGGTAATAAATCCATAAGCGTAAGCCAAACACAGTACATTAAAGAGAGCAGAAAATAGGATCCATCTATGTATGGAACCATCATCAGGGTTCATCAATGGTGGAACTATCTCAACACTTAGTACCTAATGCCTCATTTTGTATGTGGAGGAGGGAGACAGAAATTCTTTCCAAGACCCAACAAAATCCATTATTCCCAGCACAATTACTAAAAAATCTTTTTTCTAGTAATATTCCTATCTTCCCTAACTTTCTTTTTTTGGCAGGGGGATCTGGTCATGGGGCCTGAACTCTGGGCCTGGGCACTGTCCTTCAGCTCTTCAGCTCAAGGCTAGCACTCTATTTTTGCTTATGTGGTACTGAGGAATCGAACCCAGGGCCTCATGCATGCAAGGCAAGCACTCTGCCACTGAGCCACCTTCCCAGCCCTCTTCCCTAACTTTCTAATAAGGAAAGTTAGCAATGAAGAAACCAGAATGTAATTAGCTAATATTAATCTGCAGCTCAGGAAAAAAAAGTTAAGGTAAAGGCAAAGATGATGACACTGAGAGAGTGAAGTGCACCTGGCTGGCTTTGTGCTAGAAGCCGGCACCTCTAACTTTGCTTTACCTATGCATCACTTACCAAATCAAAGAATGACACAGGACACACCTTCATTATTCCAAAAATGAAAGTTCAAGCTACAGTGGATCAAAACAAAGCATCTGTCTCTAGACACAAAGGATATAGCTAGTGATTACTGAAATGGGACTGAAGTGATATGAACAAAGTGTTAGTTTAACCTAGTACACTATGCACTTTTTAAGTAGAATTGTGACTGATTTTTTATCTCAATTCTTAAATTTTTCTTTTTCCTTAAACTCTATACTGCTAAGCCAAAAAAAAAATTCTAGATAAGGTACACTGGTATTTTGCGCCTTATCTTGTACAAAATGATTGCCTATAATCACATACCAAACATTAATTGCTGTATAAGCTCATGGTTGAGCCAACTGTATGATATTAATTGTGCCTTTCCAATGAGCTATGTCTACCAGGGAACTCTGATTTCAATGAAATTTCAAAGACACACTTGGAACGTATTCCCAAGTAACAAATGTGTTTACAAGCAGAATTTTGCTTATGAGACATTGCTTTGAGTTTATTTTTCTTTGGAAAGTGTGTCTGAAAATCTTCCTACCTTGACATAAGCTATGCCATTTTTACATGTGCCTAGTTCAAGGTCTACTATGTATTAGAAGTTGATGGTTAATAAACTCATAAATGAAACCAGCTCCTTCTCAGAATAATTATAAGAGGATAAATAATAAATTGAAATGGACATGAATGTGTTCCCTCTCTATCCAGGGAAGCAAGATGAGGGCCAGGCTGAACTGAGCTGCAGAACATGAGTGTTTCTTAATAAGAATGAGGTAGAAGCTTTCAGAAATAGCAAGAGATACTGGGAATTGAGAAGAATCTGAGCAAACTATAATCCTTCATGTCAGTTCCCCCACAGTTAATTTGGCCTTTCTGACTTTCTAGTCTTGGGTTTGGTAGTGTTATATGGATCCCCAAGAAGTTCATGGGAGCCAAAAGGCCATGATAATACTCATCTGCCAAACACTTGCTCTTTGTGGCAGTCACAGGTCAGCTACTGAAGCCAAGGGCCTAGGTGCTCTGGAAACAACTTACAGGCATTCTAGAAACATCTCTGCTACTACCAAATGACATGATTTTAGGCAAGTTATATGCCATATGGTTTAGACCTCCCCTCTTTGCTTTCTACCTAAATAATGAGTAAAGAGCAGTAAACAGATCAGCATCTGCGAAACATAAAGACTATTATGATCAAGGTTATAATTTTGATGATTTGTTTCATTCTTCAAAAATGCTTATGTCTTAGAGAAAGGTTTTTTTGGTTTTTTTTTGTTGTTTTTGTCAGTCATAGGGCTTAAACTCTGGACCTGAATGCTGTCCCTGAGCTCTTCAGCTCAAGCAAGCACTCTACTACTTGAACCACAGTACCACTTCCAGTTTTCTGGTGGTTAATTGGAGATAAGAGTCTCATGGACTTGCCTTCCCAGACTGGCTTTGAACTGTGATCCTCAGATCTCAGCCTCCTGAGTAGCTAGGATTACAGTCGTGAGCCACCAGCCCCAACAAGGAAACATTTTTTTAAGAAACATATTATAATTCTCTACATTTCAATTTATAACAAATACAATTTTCAAAGTCACAGGAAATTTACAAAAACTACATATACTCAGAAGAGTCAAGTGGAGGCCGGGCACCGATGGCTCACACCTGTAATCCTAGCTGCTCAGGAGGCTGAGATCTGAGGATCACAGTTCAAAGCCAGCTCAGGCTTTATCTCCAATAAACCACTAGAAAACTGGAAGTGGCACTGTGGCTCAAG